TTTGATTTCTCTTCCCAGGTTCAACACTTCCTCACATATACCTCTGCTCGCATTCTTCCCCTCCCTCCATTGCTATTTTCTACTGGGTCTTCAAAATCCGTATGCGAGAAGATCTAAAAGCTTAGTCATTTAAGTTCTCCAGGAAAAATCCTCAAACTTTAAAACACGCTTGCTTGGCACTTCATGTGTTACCTCTGAAAAATCTCATTGTTTCTGGATTCCGCTCTTCTTCTAACCTGTTCTTTCTTGCTGAAATTGACAAATTAACAAATTGTGTGATTGTCTTCATTCTTCTCCACATCTGAATTGGTTAGTTTCCACTTCGTTCTTTTCGAGCTTTTAGGGTTCGTGAATCAATTTTCTCTTTTAGTTTTCAAGGTAGCTTTACCGTTGGAAATTTGTCAATAATTTACTCCTATAAACTATCCAATCTTTATGCTTTTAGATTTGAAAGAGAGATCTGTTTTACCTCTGATTTTTTATGAAATACTTCGTTGTTGGTAGCTTTGAAACAGAATTCTGTTTTATCTCTGATTTTTATGGAAGAGTTGATTTTTTTCGGATGGGAATCTGTTGGGATTTTAGTTGCAGAAGTTGAATTTTCAATTCATTCTACTGATTGCTTAAGGAGTTCGACTAAGTAATTTATTGGACTAGATTATGTCTTTAGTTATTGTTATTTGATGGTTGACACTGCAAAAGAAAGTTCTTACATAGTTATCAGTATGCTAATTGCTCTTCTCCGTTTTCCTGGAAACCTATTTAGCACCGAGGAAGGAGAAAAGTATTTGAATCCTTGAACCTAAGAGTATCTATTGATTCTCTATATTCAATTAAATATGACACGGGGAACCTTTGTTAGTTAGCTTAGTAGGGAGTAAGAAGAGGTAAGAGAATCTAAATTCCATTAATGTTGTAACTCAACAACAACAACAATAATAACAAACCCCGTATACTCCCACAAGTGACTTGTTGCTGGGAGGGTAGTATGTACGCAGACCTTAATCCTGTAACTCGAGTGGAAATATTTGAGCACATGTACTCATTTAATTCTAACCGTCCTCCAACAACTCATACCCATGGAAACGGTTGTTCTTTTTGCCTGTGTTTTGTTGACTGGAATTTCTTGAACGCTGCTTTTTCCATAGAACTAAGTTTTTTTTTTAATTCAATTTTACCATTCGATTTGACCCACTTAAATTTTTTAGAGGAACCTCAACTAAAGATTTATAATTTGCATATATAGCAAGCTAATACAAAGACAAGAGAGCAAAATAAATGGGTGAGAATAGAACCTCCAGTTAATAAAGTGGAGAATAATGGAATCGGGTTCACAAGCAATTTTGCGACCAACTTCTTCCATTTCAACACAGTAGTACAGAAGCACTTGCTTCTTCTTCTTTACTGTTTCCTTGTCCATCTAAACACAGTAGCTGTTTGAGAGAGTGTGTGTGTTCTGACAAAAGTGCAGGAGAGTGTTGTAGTGTGCCTGTTGTTTAAGGATTTTTGACTAAGATTTTCGTCATCCAACAATTTGGTGTTTAGGTCACTATACAAGATGCAGAAAGATAATCAACCAAATGTGTCAAATAAAAGCTGCATGATGCTTAATTCACTTACATTTCTGTTAATGTGGATAGCATGTTGGTTTCAGTGGTTTGCTACTTTGCATATAACTCTCTTGTCTTTTACTCTATCATTTACTCTGTTCAGTATTGCTTGGGTGGCTTTGATAGAAATATATGCTTTATGATATTCAACTGACTTCGAGGTTATGCATATTGCTTACTTGTGTGTTAGGATTTTAAGACTTCAATTTTTTTTAAGAGTTAAGTGGATTTTTTTAAAGGGATATTCTATGGAGTTGTAGTGTCTCCAAACAACTGAGTTTGTTTGAATTGGGCAATTCATATATTGGTTTGTTTCTTTTTCTATTATAGTTTTCTGTCGATTGTGTTTTGGAATTTTGTTATATAGTTTAAATATGTCAGTTTTATCACAACAGTGAAAGATATCAAATTATCAACTAAGCTCAAAAGGGCATAGAAAAAGATCCTTTCTTTTTCTTTTTGGTATTATGTAAGGCTTATTGAATTGACATTGTGGGTGCACAACATTAATCATTGTTCTATCTCAGCATTTGTTCCAGTTACTAATAAGTTTCATGCTTCCCTGCTTAAAACATAGTCATACTAATACGCTACCAAAACTAAATAGGAGAATTCAATTTTTGCAGAGCCAATTCCAAGTTGGTCATTTTTTTTAATTTGATTTTCTTGTGATACTTTTATCTCAGTTATAGCAGTAGTTTCTTAGAGCCTTGCTTCAACTTTCAACGCCATTCAACCCTTTGAGCATAAGATTACGTCAATACAAGTCTAACGCTAATGCTCCTTTATTTCTTTTTCGCTCTGAGATAAGAATGTGCACAGTTCAAGAAAAGCCTGATAGCTCTAACACGCGCAGAGAAATGAAGAAAACCAAAGTTGTTCAGTAGCTGGCTTGACATATACAGAGAAATTTCAGGCAGTTCTATGATGTATAGGAACAAAGATTTTGTTGGTAATCTCTTGTGCATAGTTAAAGTTTAGATTCGGTGACAATGACATTAAACACTACGATTTTGCAGAATATTTTAAATCACATATCTTCTCAAATAATTGATTTAGAAGAAAGATAAAACACCTACAGTATATTTCATTGTAGCTAAAATTAAAAAACTTTACAAGCTCTTTGCAATTTGAATTGTGTGTTAAGCTAACAAATACATCCTAATAGATTTTAATATTGTCACATTTTGGTACAGTCTATATTTTCTTTAGCAAGAACAGTAACAGAAAAGTTAGATGTAGTTGTTGCTTCTGCTATTCGTTTTGATAATTTCGACGAAAATAAAAATGATCATGAATTTGCTAACATGAAGCTTCATCTAGCCATTGGGCCCGGGCTTAGCCCGGGCATAACCTCACTAGTAACATCATAGATGTACAAAGAAATAATACCTTGAAGTGTATTAGATGTGGGGGTGGACCCTTTCTCTCTCTAAAATATTATAGCTTCAAAAACCTTGCTCAAATTCTCTCTCCCCGCCTCCTTCTATTTATAGAAAATAGGGTGCATAGGAGCTATGCGTAGCTATGAACTCTAGCTATGCATCAGAAGCTCTTCTTGTTTTCCCTTTGGTTTCATCTACGCATGCAGCATAGCTACACATCCTATCTACGCTTGGTTGCGTAGCTAAGATCCCTAGCTACGCACAGTTGAAGCTTCTCCTTTTCCTCTTCTCTTCTTCCTGGTTTTAGCTACGCATGTCAGCATAGCTATACATCCTAGCTAAGCCTGGCTACAAGAATTCTCTTGCTCCTTTTTTTGCTAAACCCTCCAAGGAATGCTTTTAGACACTCAACCTAGGGACCTCCTACCCTTATGATCTCATGCTCAAGTATCCCAATGACCCTGCTACCCTCGTATGGGTCCGTAAATACTTCGAAGTCTCACTAATTATTCTCTTAATTTTGAATTAGACTCAATCGTCTTAGAAAAATTCGGGGGCTTTACAATCTCTCCCGCTTAGAAACATTCGTCCTCGAATGTACAACTGAAGTTGTAATCAATTTCAATATCCAACCATAACCCTTCTAGACCTCGACACCAAATGACCTCTTATATGCCATCCTTTTTTACTAACTCCCCAACTTCTCAAAAACATTCGACAGAGTCTACTTTGAAAATAGGACTATACCAAGATTTTACCCGTTAGCTAAACACGAAGCTATATATATATTGTCACACCTCCTTTTTCCTACCCGAAAGGGAGGTATAATGGAGTTTTTTCCAATTTAAGTGACAATCGAAATGGAATTATTTTATTTAAAATCAGAGTCGCCACTTGGGATAGTTTATTGGTGTCCCAAGTCACCAGTTTAAATCCCGAATCGAGGAAATATTGACTTTGTTTTACAGTCTGCGAACACAGAAATCCGGGTAAGAAATTCTGTTAACCCGGGAGAAGGTGTTAGGCATTCCCAGGTTCCGTGGTTTTAGCACGGTCGCTCAACTGTTATTATTGGCCTATTTATTTGATTTTAAAACATCTTTGAAACCTATGTGCATTTTTATTCCTTCTAAACCGCTTTTAATAAATCAATTGTTTTACAACTAATTATTTGATTACACGTTGTGAATCATATCACGGGAACCGTACCCACGATCCACAACATGTCTATTTTGTTATTATTGTTCGAAGTTATGGTTGAGTCACGTGAAACGTGCACTCGAATTGGAATTTATGTATCGTGACCAAGTCACGGGAACCGTGCCCATAGTCATGATGATTTATTATTAATCGCACCTAAAGCAACTAGCGCACTTGAATTATTTTCCTAACCTTGGTGATTGTTATGATGCCAAGTTTATGGACAAGAAATTATTTGCGGAAGAGGCTTAGCCAGGTCACTAATTATAATGTAGCATTCTATCTTTTTGGAATTAAAAAAAATGCTGAATTTACAGGTTAAACTAATGGAATGGCAATATCGAGTAACTTGACTAAATACACGATAAAACATGAAATTAGGCTAACTTTGCACCTAAATACATAAACATCTAGGAAATTGAGGAAATGGTTAACCACGTCAAAATATCAAAACGTGCCAACACTAATGTCCAAATGCATTTCAAATTTAGAAATTAAAAAAAACACTTGTGTACATTCAGATTATAATTAATTATTCATAATCATTTTCACCCAATTGACCCCCAATAAATGTTATACTTAACAAGTAAAACTAATGATTAGCATGAATGGGTGACGACTTCATTAAGCAGCTATAGGCGCTGTATCAACCCAACCAAATTAAGATACAAGAGAGATATTATTAAATTGCAATAAAAGAAATAAATAAGTTAATACCAAAATCGTCATCAAACATGACAAAACGCCAAAATTTTATTTACTACGGGAACCAACAAAATTTTGAGATTAAAAGTAAGAAACGGACCTCGATAGAAAGCAATTTTGAATCTGAAAATGCTTAACACCGGAAACCTTAGACAGCTTAGACAGCTTAGACAGCGACAACCTCGACAGAACCTCGAACCTCGCGGACGAACTCGAACTCTACTCGACCCATAGAACACCGAAACTCAAAGAGCTGACCGGAACTTTAAGAAGCGAGATTTGAGAATGCCGGTGTCCGCATTGTATCGTATTCGTCAGCTCAGCGAAGCTTTATCAATCAACTTGGGAAAAAACAAGAATATGAAAAGTCTTCGATTGGTAGTGTATTATATTGTCTCAATTCTAATGATTTGAGCCTAGAGAATTGCTACTGTTTCGTGACCTCCCCTTTTTACTATTCTAATTCCCTCAGATTCCTCCGTTTTTTTCCAGCCTTCCTTCGTTTCCCCTTTTCTCGTTTTTTTCTATCTATGTTTCGTGTGTGTCGCGGCTGAATCTTTTTAGTGAGAATAGGAAGACGGATCGACCATTCTCTCAAAAAGGGATGGGGCGTTGCTCATTTCTCTTTTTCCAGTAGGGGCGTTGGTCATGGCTGCTGTTTTTTTTTTTTTTTTCCAAACATCAGAGAGTGGGGCGTTAGGTTTAGGTTGATGGGGGGTCTGTTTTCATCTCTCTTTTTTGAGTGATAGAGTTACTACTTATATGTGTGTGCAGCCGATGAAGTGAATCTTGGGCCCAAAGTAATGTTTCTATTGGACCAAGATAAAAAGAAGGAACTTTTACACATTCCTATGCCACATAGCAAATCTTATTACCATTAATGTTTAAGGTTTGATTTAATTACACTTAATATACCAAATTATCAATTCTATACCATAATGTATTTTAAGGGTACAATTAATGCAGCATATATATCCCTCTTTTTGACAAGTAATTCTCAATTTTCCCTCTTCATTATTAAATAAATAGATTTTGTGTTTGTTCTTTCCTTGTTGTCTGGCAAAGTCCAATAATTGAACAAGAGTTGGATACTGAACGTTAACGCTTCAATGTCTAACCATGAATCAGAGGGTAAGTTTTTTTATGGCAAAATTAAAGAACTGCAAATTGTATAAATTGCATCAAATGGATATGTGGCGTTTGGTTATTTGGGAATATTTCATTTTTGTAACATCGTGACGTTAAAGAATGCTCTCATCTACAGTGATATTGGTTCACTATCTAGACAAAAAAAAATAGTATGTCGTTTCTAAACTAGATTTTCGACATAATTGCATTTTTTGCAGAAGATTTTGTAAAAGTTTTAGTCGTTTTGGATTTATGAAAATAGAAAACAATGCATCTACAATCAGAATACAAATAATCTACAATTCATCTATAAAATATCTATAAACTGAGTATATTGAATTTTAATATCCCAATTCTCATTCTATTGTAGTTTAATTGGGATTTTTGACATAATTGCATTTTTTGCAGAAGATTTGTAGAAGTTTTAGTCGTTTTTGATTTGTGAAAACAGAAAATAAAGTATCTACAATTAGAATACAAATAATCTATAATTTATCTACAAAATATCCACAAACTAGGTACATTGAATTTTTATATCCCAATTCCCATTCAATTGTAGCATAATTGGGATTTTTGACATAATTACGTTTTTTCAGAAGATTTGTAGAAGTTTTAGCCGTTTTTTATTTGTGAAAATAGAAAATAAAGCATCTACAATCAGAATACAAACAATCTACAATTTATCTACAATTTATATACAATTTATCTACAATTTATGCAATATGTCTTCTTCTTCTTCTTCTTCTTCTTCGAGTTTCAATCTGAAATTCAGTCAAAACCAAGTCTAATCTTCACCAAAACCCCTCAAATTGAGATATAAACTCCAAACCAGATTCCCAATTATTTTCAACAACACCCAATCCAAACAAATAATGATTTTTGAAAACCCAAATTTGAATTCAAAGCTTTCAAGCTTTTTAATGGCTGTCAATGGTGGAATTGTTGCTCTCTTTTCATTTGCTTTGTATTACTGAAATTTGCGATTGAGAGATAGAGAGAGATGTAGAGAGAATGTCGACGAACAGAGCTTTTGCAGAACTGATTTCTAGAATTTGAAATTGAGCTTCTAATTTCGACGAACTGAGCTTTTGATTTGTGTCTTAAGCGAAAATATCGAGGAACAGATCTGAGCTTTTGAACAGATTTGATTTCGGCGAATTGAGCTTTTGAACAGATTTGATTTGTGGCTAAATCAATTAGAAGATTCTGTTCCTGAATTTTAGCACGCCTAATTAGGAAGATTCAGCTACTAATAATTAGTATTTAATGAATGATATAATTTTAGAAAAATGTGGACAGGGCGGGTAAATTAGAAACTGTGCACATTTTTGGTAATAAAGTTTTATATATGGTATAGGAAGGAAAAAATCTTTAAAAAGAAATCCAACCAAATTCAAGAGGACCTCAAAATCGCGTGGGATTATGGAGGAAAATGACGTGAGTGATCCCCTGTGCAAATTGTTTTATTGGAAGGCATTCTTGGTTTTTCTTTCTTTGGAATTTTCTTATTTTGGCTTTCTTCTCTTCTTTTTTGAATAAAGTAAATAATAAAATAACTATGAAATGCATGTATTAATTAATTAACAACAAAACAGAACACATTTCGTTCATTTTCTTTTGTTCTTCTCTTTTGAAAACCAAAATTGGAAAATTTAGACTAAACTATTGAATCATAATGCATAAAATCCTAAAAAAAAACGTGACTCTATTTGGAATTTTTATTTTTATGAGAAGTAAGATGAACTACATATAACTAGACAAAATCAATTAACTAAAACAAAGAAAAATATTTTTGTAGTTTTCATTTTAAGTAAAAATAGAGTAAAAGGGTCAAAACTAGTTAAAATAGCGATATTAGACTTAAACTAAAAACATTTAGCGCTAAAATATATAAAATCTCGAGGTGGGTCAAAAATTATACGTCTACATATATATAGAGAGATAGAGAGAGATGGCTTCAATTCCACACAAATGTATTGCTGTGTATTAGCAAAGCTTAATACACCTTACCATATAACATGTGATTACAGGAAAAGTCTTAAAATGAAAGAAATGCAAAGTGCATTAGTTCAAATTCAAGTGCAGGCTTCATTCTCTTGAAATAAACAAGGGTATCTCTTCTTCATGTCCTCCTTCGCATACCATGATGCTTCCTCAACATCTTGATTCCGCACTTTAACAGATGTAACCTCTTTTATTCTCAACTTTTGGACTTGTTTACCGAGTATAGCAATAGGAAGTTCTTCATATGTTAGTCCCTCATTTATATCAATGGTTTGTGGGGAAATGATATAAGAGGGGTCTCTTAAACATTCTCGCAACATCGATACATGGAAGACTGGATATACGGAAGATAACTCTTGTGGTAGTTCTAATTCATTAGCTACCTCTCCTGTTTTCTTCAAAATCTTGTAAGGACCAATGAACCTTGGGTTAAATTTTCCCTTCTTGCCAAAACGCATCATACCTTTCATTGGTGGCACTTTCAAGAAAACAAAGTGACCTTCTTTAAAGGTTAGTTCCCGAACATCCGAATAGAACTTCTAGCAACTTTTAGCCATTTTTAGTCTCTCTTTAATCACCTTCACATTTTCCATGGCTTAGTGTACCATGTCGGGACCTAATAAATGGGCTTCACCAACTTGAAACTAACAAATTGGAGACCTACTTCGTCGCCCATACAAAGCTTTAAACGCTGCCATATGTAGGCTCACTTGATAGCTATTATTGTTAGCAAACTCAATGAGTGGTAAATGGTCATTCCAATTACCCTTGAAGTTAATCACACAAGCTCGTAGCATATCCTCAGGTGTGTGAATGGTCCTTTCTGCACGTTCGTCTTTATGGGGCTCAAAAGTCGTGCTAAGGTTAACTTGTGTACCAAAATCCCCCTGAAACGACTACCAAAAGTTTGCCGTGAATAGAGCACCTCTATTTCAAATGATAGAAATAGGAGTACTGTGCAGTCTGACAATTTTGTTGATGTAAAGTTGTGTGTACTTCTCTGCACTTTCAGTAGTCTTGACTGAAAGGAAGTGTGCCGACTTTGTCAATCGGTCCTCAATTACCCAAATGGAATCATACTTGCGAAAATATTGGGGGAATCCAACAACGATGTCCATATTGATCATATCCCATTTCCATTGGGGATCTCAATATTTTGGTCTAACCCACTGGGTCGTTGATGTTCAGCTTTTACCCGTTGGCAATTTATCCACATTGACTCGAACTTGGCTTTATCTCTCTTCATATTATTCCACCAATAGACCTCTTTCAAGTCTTTGTACATCTTAGTAGATCCCGAATTTACGGAGTACCTCGAGTTATGTGCTTAAGTCATGATTTTTCTTCTAAGATCATTCACATTGGGAACACGTAATCGACCTTGATACCTCAGACTACCATCGATGGCATCCACAATGAATATTGTGACTTTCTGCCGGTTGATCCCTTCTTTCAACTCCACTAAATATGGATCTTCATATTGATAGGACTTTACCTGATCAATAAAGGATGATTGGGCACCATTTTGTATGTTCACATCACCATTATCATCCTCGACAATTCGTACACCCAAGTTTGCCAAGCTATGGATATCATTCATCATAAGTTGTGTACTACCACGAAATAAGCTAAGTTACTTGTTGACTTTCTACTAAGAGCATCTGCCACCACATTGGCCTTTCCCGGATGGTACAAAATATTAACAACATAGTCTTTGAGAAGTTCAAGCCATATTTGCCCCAAGTTCAAGTCCCATTGCTTGAAAATGTACTGCAAACTCTTCTGATCAGTATACACCTTACAATGGATACCGTACAGATAGTTGCCCTTATCATCAATACAAACACCACCACGATGAGTTCTAAGTCATGAGTGGGATAGTTCTTTTCATGGTTTTTTAATTTCCTTGAAGCAAAGGCAGCCACTTTACTTTGTTGCATCAACACACACCTTAACCCAACTCTTGAAGCGCCATAATATACCGTAAAGCCCTCTAAGCCTGTAGGTAAGGTCAACACCGGTGCTATAGTCGATCTCGTTTTCAATTCTTGGAAACTCCTTTCACAAACATCCGACCATTGTTATTTGGCATCTTTCAGTGTATGTTTTGACAAAGGAGATGGAAGAGTAGAAAACAATCAACAAACCTCTGATAGTAGCCAGCTAGTCCCAAAAGCTTCAAATCTCCGTCGGTGTTGTTGGTCTAGGCCAACATTTAACCGCTTCAATCTTTTACGGATCAACCTTGATACCCTCACTTGATACCACCTACCCAAGAACGCCATAGATTCAAGCCAAGACTCGCACATAGAAAATTTTGTATACAACTCATGATCCAATAGCGTTTGCAATACTATCCTCAAATTTTTGGCTTTCTCCTCTCAACTTTGTGATTAGACTAAAATGTCATCAATAAACACTATTACGAATGTGTCGAGAAACATTTTAGAAACTCGATTTATCATATCAATGAAAGCTACATGGGCATTGGTCAACCCGAATGACTTCACCAAAAATTCATAATGCCCATTGCGAGTACGAAAAGCTATTTCGGGAATATCTTTTTCTCGGATCTTCAACTGATGGTACCCTGA